AGAGGCCTCGCCGGCCGCGCTCCGCGGCGCCACGTGCCGCGCTCGCCCCCGACCCCGTCTGCCGCGAGCCAAGGGCTGCGTGTGAAACCAGAACAAGGGCCCTGTAGGACTGTCAGGACTGCCTGATGCGCATCCTCAGGAATTTACGCGGCGCAAACTTAGTGTCTTTTCTGTCAGGTACAGATGAGCAGCAACTTGCCTTTTGCTTTTGTGTCCCGCTCGCTGACGAGGTGCAGGAGGGCTGCGGTTGGGCATTTAGCAAAGAATTAGGAAACAGGAGTGCCCGCAAGGCTGGAGGGTGTGGCTTCTGTGCTGAAACACTGTAAGCAGCTGCCCTCGGGCCGTTCCATTTGGGTGCAGGGCCCCTTGCAGACCCAGCGGCTGAATAAAGAGTGTTCCCTTTTGTCTCTGGTGGTGGTGATTCCGTCTGGCGCTGGTCCGGCGATAACGCTGCACTTTCTAGTGTTACAGTGAGGGGGTCTGCGGGTCCCGCCCGCCACCCCGAGGCGCCCGGAGCACTGCCTCTCCCACTCAGGAACAGGCGGGGCGTGGGGAGGGGGCGCGTGGACGGCCCAGGGTGCCGGCGACCTGGGGTTGGCCTCTCTGGGCAGAGCAGAGATCTCTGCGGGAAGCAAGGCAGTGGGGAGGGCACCGGACAGACAGACAGACAGAAAGGTGCATGTACACATACGCCCTCCAGACCAAGCCCAAGCCAAGGAGGAAGAGCAGCTTGCTCAGGGGGAACCTCCTCTTGGGTCCCCAGGAAACCTTACTGCTTTGATCTCTGCGCCTGGGAGGAAGGGCCTCTGAGGTGTGACCCGGTGCTGGGACGGACCCAGAGCAGGAGGAGGCATGGGCTGCACTGTCTCTAGGGCCTTCACTAACCTGACCTTGGCCTTCTTTGCCCCTCAAAACCTCCCCCGCAGTGGGGGTGGACCCTCGCCTGGATACCACCGCTGCCGGGGTAGGTAGGGGCAGCCCCCAAGATGCATGTTGCTGGTGGGTGTGGGGACCACCTAGTGGGGCCTCTGGCTCAGTGCCCTGAGGACTCTGTTCCCTGCCGGGGGCTTCCAGGCAGCCCCAGGCTGCTCCGTCACTGTACGCAATTCATGCATCTTTCTGGATGCTCTGGACTTGAGTCAGCTGTGCCCATGCCCAGCCCCCCTCCCCCCACTGTGCCTGCCTGGGGGTGGGGTAGGGGTGGGATGGGTGAGTAGAAACCATGGGTGTATGTCTCACGGGCTTACTCTTAGCTTAGAGGGGTCTCTGAGGGTAGAGGTTGGGCCCCACTAGCCTTAAAAACTGGCCTTTGCCCCCTTGGTCTGGCTCACTTCTACTGCCCCTTCAAAATTAACCCACTACTCTCTAAGCTATCAGGTGGCCCCTAGGGGACAGGGCTGCCCAGCTTCCCTCTGCTGTCCCCTTCAGTGTTCCCATTCCACCTACACCGGGAACCTACTGACCAGAGACTGCCTAAGTTACAGCCCATCCAACAGACGCTAGGGTCCTCTACGGCCCATCCAACAGACACTAGGGTCCTCCCTGCCACGGCCACAGGCCAGGCTCCCAGTCAGTCCCCTAGAGCCCAGGCCTTAGAGGGCCTTGCATTCATTCAGGAGTGTACTCATTGAGGTATGCATTCATCATGTGTGCATTTATTTTACTCAGCTCCCCAACACTAATCCTACTCCATGCACCTGCTAGGTCCCAAAGGCAAAGCACTGAACATGGCAGGTACAGTCTTGCCCTGGAGTTCACAGTCTAGTGGGAACAAGAGATTTTAACCTGCAGAGCACACATCTATTGGGCCCCAGGCAGGGGCAAAGCAAGCCCAACACTGCTTCCCCCCACACTGCCCTGGGGTAGTCGGTTGGGCCTGGGCAACAATCTGATGGAGCAGGTACCAGTTGGGGGCTCACTTCAGGCCCCACTCTCTCTTATTTGAGGGCTCAAAGAGGACATTGTGGTGGGGGGAGGAAGGGGTCTGGAGGCCAGGAGACTGGGGCCTGGCCTACAATGAGACCCATGTATGCTACTGTCCAGCTCCGGCCTCCTCGAAGGGTGTAGGTGGGTGTCATACTATGGGAGGTAAAGGATCCGTGGCAGGTCTATGTGGCTGTTGAGCTGATGTCTCTCTGCTTCTTGATCCCCTGATCTGCACCTCTGTTTCCTCAACCAGGAGTCACCAAGATGCCTATCCTGGAAAAAAAACCCCAGAAGATGGCAGCAAAAACTCTCAGCAGTGAGGAGGCTGTGAGTAACTTTTGCAGCCCCCTCTCTTATCCCTACTCTCCCACTCACATGCCCTTAGCTTCCAAAACAGTCCTTAGTGGGATTTGTGCCAGCGCTTGCCTGACCCCCAGCTTTCCCCTCTCCTGCGCATGAGGCCCAGGCTACAGCCCTGCCCTGAGCCTGTTGAGGAGCCTAGGAGGGGTTGGGGCTCTAGGAGTAGCTTCAAGGAGCACTAAGGGAATGCTGAGAGCCACACTTCCTAATCCCAAAGTCCAGGAAGAGTCCTTGACCTGGGCCAGATACTCTTTTGTCTCCCAGGCCCAGCTGTTGTCACTAGTCCAGCTCTGGAGGCACCATCTTCCCACTGGCTGCAGACAAGCCACTCCTCCCTGGGCAGGCCTCCTCCCTCCCACCCCACTTGCCTCCCAGAGTGACGGAGCAGTACATCTGATCTCCACAGTGTTGCATATGTTGGGTCCTCTGCTTCGCTTGTCTTCTTGACACCTCCTTGACAACCATACCACTCTCTATCCCCCCAGCTTCATTTGAAACCCTGATCAGAGCTTTCTGGCTCCTCCCTGTGAAGCAGCTCACCCCATTGTCCTGTTGGCTGCAAGGGACACCTCTGTTGTTGCTCCTGCTCCATGGCGTGTCCCTCCTGTTGGACTATGGCTCCCTGTCTCTCCACCGAACCTGACTGAGTCCAGCCCAGAGTGACTGGCTCACATGAACTGCCCAGGAAACATGTATTGGCCTGAGACCCCAGGGTTCAAAGACCCTCATTAGTAATAGTCCCTGCTTCTGTCCCCACTGTGGACCAGAAGCCCATGAGAGCTAGGGAGGAGCCCCAAGGGGCTGAGACATCCAGGCGGGGATTGCTGCCTCGTTCCTTTTTATGCATCACCAGTTGCCCGTGAGCCAGGTTGAGTCCCTGGGCACTGTCAGGGCCCCAAAGAAGGGTGGCCTGTTTCTAGCAGGGGCTCCAGCCAGACCTGCTGGCACTCTTGACCAGGCCACCAACTGGGCTGCGCTTTCTGTAGGTATTTACCCACTCACCCACCACACAGATACCCAGGCCCCAACAGAAGGAAGAGGGAACCAGAGCAGCTGGGTGGGGCACCTGGACCTGGCTCTCTGGAGTGGGCTAGATAACCTGAAATGCTGTCCAGACCCGTCCTCGAGTGGTCCCCAGGTTAGCAACAGCACATAGTTAGCACTGACAGCCTACTCCCTCCCCCTAGGACAGTGAGCTCTAGACACAGGATCAGACAGGTGAGGATCCCACTCACTCACAGAACATGTTCACTCAGTCCCACCTGCCCAGGGCAGCGTGGGGGCTCCAGCCTGCGCCTCAGTAAGAGCAGAGCGGAGGAAAGCTTTCAAAGGCCCCTTCACTCCACAGCCTGCCTGGGACAGAAATTCACTGCCCCCAACACCCTAGAGAGGAGCAGACCCTGAAAGAAGGCAGCCCACTTTGTAAAATTTAAGCAATAATATGAACATTCCTGGTTTCCAACTGTGACCACCAAGTCAGGGAGAAGGAAAGTGGGGAGAAAGGAGAGCAAGGCAGAAAGAAGAGAACAGCCGGGCAGGAAGGAGCGGGATGAATATGGGATGAAGACTGGTTTCAGGTCTCAGCTCTGCCACCAAATTGCTGGGTGACCTCGGACTATCTCTCCACACTCTGGGCCCAAGTTTCCTCATCTGTCAATGGGCTGAGGCATAAGATGTGAGACCTCTGGTGAGCACAGCTGGTAGACTGGGAAGCATGGGGCCCAGACTCTCTCCACACTTTGGGGCTCCCAGAGGTTATGGGTTTCCTCTTAGGAATTCTGGAGGCATAAGGACACTAATGTTAAAGCATTCCATCACGTGCTTACTTGGGGCCGGTTGCTTCTCTCATTTAATTCTCTCTGGGCCCCTCTCAGGTAGGAAATGTTTTTTATGTCCTGTGGGCAAGGAAGCTGAGTCTTAGAAAGATTAAAAAGAAGAATTTCCGCTCCACTTCCCCCCAACCCCACCTCCATACCCACATGAGCAGAACGTCCCTCTCTGTGTTTCACAACTGCTGGGGATTTAATGACAAGCCCAGGGCATGAGTCGCCTTCCCAGGAAGCATCTTACAGAATTCTGGTCATTAGGACAAGCAATGACCTGTGTCTACCACCATCGTTCACCTGTCCACATCTCTCCTGAGTCACGCCCTTTGGTCCAGAGTCCAGTTTGATTCTAGAGCCCAGCCGGGAACAGCTCCTAAATGAAGAATGATCTTCAGTCACTATCAATAACAGGACCGGCTCATCTTAGACCATTTGCTATGGGTGATAAGCACTTTCATATCAATGTCTCTTTATCCTATGAGAGGTAGAGGCTATTATCCCCTTCTGGTAGGGGAGGAAACTGAGGCACAGAGGTAGGGGTGATATGCTTAAGATCAAACAGCTGGTCAGCAGCAGGGTCAGGGATGAATCCAGGTCTGTCTGGGATCAACATCAAGGTCTCTTCCTCTGCACTTTGTCCCCTTCTGGGGTCAGGGCTGGAGTACGGCAAAAAGCAAACAGGAGCTTCCTAAGTTCACAATTCTGCTGAGCTGAGCCCTGCAAACAGATGAGTCTCAGGACAGGGAACAAGGGTGGCAGCAGACGGAGACAGACACTAGGCTTCAACTTGAGGACAAGCATGGGCCACACACATAAGGACAGACACAGCAAGTGCTTGTGAACATCTCTTCCAGGAGATGCCCAAACTCCCAGTGCCCCCACTGCAGCAGACCCTGGCCACTTACCTGCGCTGCATGCAGCACTTGGTGCCCAGGGAGCAGTTCAGGAGGAGCCAGGCCATCGTGCAGCAGTTTGGGGCCCCTGGTGGCCTCGGCGAGACCCTGCAGCAGAAGCTCCTGGAACGGCAGGAGAAGACGGCCAACTGGGTAAGCGTTGTTGGGAGGGTGCTGACTGGGGGACAGACAAGGGACCCATGGGGCGGGAGGGGCAGGAGGCAGACTAAGAGACAGAGGGATTTGATGAGGGGCAGGTAGGTGACAAAGATAGGGCAGATGGAGGACAGAGGTAGGGGAGAGGCAGGGACAGCAAAGGACAAGGGTGAGGAACAGACGTGATGTGAAATATGAGACTGGTATGGGGACAGAGGGCTGGGAGATGGGGGAGGGTTGGGGGCAGACAGGGACAAGGATGGGGACATGTTTGGGGGACAGATGAGTGACAGGGATGGGGCAGCAGAAGATACTGATGGGGTCAGGGAAGCAGAGAGGGGTGGAAGGCAGGGAGGGGCCCCCATAAGGCCGGGCAGGGACCTGGGTGAAGCACCAACCAACCAGGCTGCGAGCCTGGGGAGGAAGAAAGGCGGGAGTACAGGGCAAGGATGCAGGGCAGGCACGTGGTTGGAACACGGTCCTCGCACATACCGGGGCTCAGTGTATGTTTGTAAAATGAATGAAATGCATGATCCGGTGAAGTGCCCCGATTGGCCCTCAGGGCTGCCAGGATGGGATTGGTGTGCACCACAGGCAAGATGCCCTTTCTTGGAGGGGGTGTACGTGGCCCCTGTGGGTGATGGCTCCCCTTCCCTGCCCCCCACAGGTGTCTGAGTACTGGCTGAACGACATGTATCTCAATAACCGCCTGGCCCTGCCTGTCAACTCCAGCCCAGCTGTGATCTTCTCCCGACAGCACTTCCAGGACTCCAATGACCAGCTAAGGTGAGGTCACTGTGCTCCTGGGCACGCAGCTGGGGAGTCTGCCTGGGGAAGGGATCCTGGACCCCATACCAGGAAAGAAAGGCCAGAGCTTTCTGAGGCCAAGTGGCCCTGAGACAGGGGGCATCCAAGCCATGAGGTCTGGAAGGAGGTTAGGTGACACTGCACGTGAGGAACAAACACCAGGTCTACCTCAGAATGCATTGACTTGGGATGGGTGGGCACTAATGGAGGACATGGACCCCCAGTTGTCCCCATGACAGTCTTGACCTGGCTGAGGCCCTAGGAAAAGACGGGTCCCCTCTGATCGTGCCAGTACTTGAGGCTGAGACTTGTCTGGGGGAACATACTGTCCCAGGTGATCTGACAAACCCCTGCTGCCCTCCAGCCCCCCAGCTCTAAACAGATTTCCTCCTGCCAGCTACCTTTGCCAGAGCCTGTGCCATCTGCTGAAATTTCACAGCTCACTGCCCACTGATGATGATGGAGGGACCATTCATGCAAGGGTAGGGCAGGGAGGAAGGATCTCCATGCAAGAGTCATGCAGACCCAAATCCAGGTCTCTGGTTTTAAGACCTGGAGGGGCACAGTGTGGAGACAGTTCAGAGGGAGGAAAAGACCAGAAGGCGGAGCCCATCTCGCCTATAGGCAGGGTCCAGCCATGCTTGGGAGACCCCAGCCCATCCTTCCTCACCAAGACCAGCCCAGAGTTCTGGGGCAGCCTTCCCCCTTCCCCTGCAGCCAGGGCCTCCGCGGGCCAAAGGCAGCGTGTGGATGGATGAACGATTTCCGAGGACTGTTCTCAAGGCTGCGCCCGAGTGCGCATTTTCCTCCTGGTGCAACTGAGCGGGGGTCTTCATCCATGAACAGTTGAGGTGACACGATCCCGTGGCAGTTCTCTGGTGCTTTCCCCCAGCTCCCGCTTTCCTTTCATTAGCACTTAGGGGACCAAATTACTGACTTTTCCCAGGAGGCTGAGTTTCCTAGAGCCCCAGGGCCCTGGGCAAGCCCAGCCCCAGCAGGAGCCCTTCCTAGGAAGGGCCCAGCCCGGATCCTCCAGCCCTTTCTGCCTGCTCGGTGGCCTCTCCCGGCTCCCTCTCCCTCCTCCCCTCCTCACTCACATTCTAGTTTCCTCTTCTCCCCGAAGTTCTTCCCAGGGGGACCATTTTTAATCCAAAGCTTGCGAAGGACTGACAGCACAGAGGCGGGCGGGGGGCAGCAGGTTTCCTGTCCTATTAGGGCACCGCAGAGGCCGGGCATCTGGTGAGTGGTCATTGAGTTTGGGTGACAGAGGGGGAGAGAGGGAGGGGAGGAGATGGGGAGAAGGAAAGGAAGAAGGAAAGAAGGGGAAGGGGGCAGGGAGGCCGGGGAGAGGGGGAGCCTGGCCGCTGAGAGGACGGGCTGAGGCCTCGCCTCTGTCTGCAGGTTTGCCGCCAGCCTGATCTCCGGAGTGCTGGACTACAAGGCGCTGCTGGACAGGTAGGACCGCGCCCGGCCCGGGAAGGCAGCGCCCTGCCCTGGCGAGGCCTGTCCCTTCGCCTCGCCCCTGCCGCGGTGGACAAGGAGCTCTAGAGGGCAGGCTCCGGGCCTCTGTTCAGCTCCCTGTCCCTGGCGCCTGTCACAGGCCCTGGGGCCACACCCACCCCAGCATCAGGATGACCTTTACCCCAGCTGGCCCAGCCACTGATAGTTACTTTCCTAGTGTGAGCACTGTCCTGCCTTATCCTTTCAAAATGCTCCCTTTCCTCCGTACCTGACGTGTACACACGAGGATGCGCGTCAGGAATCCAGAGAACACACGGGAAGGGAGAAGCAGGAGTTGCAGGAGCGAGACAGGGGCCTCGGCCTTGCCACCTGCCGCTCGAGGGGCAGGCCTCCTCAGGCCGAGCCTGCTCACATGGCTGCAGGACCGCTTCCTTTTACGCCTCAACCAAACAACCTGTGGTGTTTGTAAATTTTATAAAATGCTTGTACAACACTACAAAAATGAATTAGTAGAAAATGGTACAAAGGTACAAAGTATGAGCAACTTACTGTTAATTAATGTCTTAATTTTATTTTTTATTTTTTTAAATTATAGTTTACATTCAATATTATTTTGTATTAGTTTCAAGTGTAAAGATGAGTAGTTAGACCATCATATACTTTACAAAGTGTTCCCCCCACACTTCCAGCACCCACCTGGAACCACACATAGTTATTACAATGTCATTGACTATATTCCCTGTGCCGCACTTTACATCCCTGGGACTATTTTGAACTACTGACCTGTACTTCTCAGTCCCTTCACCTTTTCATCCAGTCCCCCAACTCCCTTCTCCTTTGACAACTATCAGTCTGTTCTCTATCTATGAGTCCGTTTCTGTTTTGTTTGTTCACTTATATTGTTCTTTAGATTCCATATATAACTGAAATAATACAGTATTTGACTTTCTCTGACTGATTTATTTCACTTAGCATAAGACTCTCTAGGTCCATCCATGCTGTGACAGATGGTAAGATTGCATCCTTTGTCTTGGTCAAGTAATATTCCACTGTATATATGTACCACCACTTCTTTATCCACTCATCTACTGATGGGCACTTGGGTTGCTTTCATATCTTGGCTATAGTAAATAACACTGCAATGAACATAAGGGTGCATGTATTCATTCGAATTGGTGTTTTGGGTTTCTTCGGATGTATTCCCAGAAGTAGAATGACTGTGTTGTTAGGCAGTTAACTTTTAAATTTTTTAAGGAACTTCCATATTGTTTTTTATAGTGGCTGCACCAATTTGCAATCCCATGCACAGTGAAAGAAGGTTCCCTTTTCTCTACATCGTCGCCAACACTTTTTTGTTCATTTATTAATGATAACCATTCTGACAGGTGTGAGGTAATATCTCATTGTGGTTTTAATTCATATCTCTCTGACGATTAGTGATGCTGAGTATCTTTTCATATGCCTATAGGCCATCTGTGTGCCCTCTTTGGAGAAGCGTCTATTCAGGTCCTTTGCCCATTTTTTAATTGTATTATTTGTCTTCCTTTTGTTGAGTTCTATGAGTACTTTATACATTTTGGAAATTAACCCCTTATCAGATACATCCTTGGCAAATATGTTCTCCCATTCAGTGGGTTGACTTTTTATTTGTTGATGATTTCTTTTGCTGTGCAGAAGCTTTTTAGTTTGTTTATTTTTTCTTTTATTTCTCGTGCCCAAGGAGATGTATCAGAAAAAATACTGCTACAAGAAATGTCCAAGATTTTACTGCCCATGTTTTTTTTAGGATTTTAAGAATTTCGAGTCTTACATTTAAGTCTTTAATCCATTTTGAGTTTATTCTTGTATATGGTGTAAGAAAGTGGTCTAGTTTCGTTTTTTGCATCATTATTTGTTGAATAGGCTGCCTTTAACCCATTTTATGTTCTTGCCTCCTTTGTCATGTATTAATTGACCATATAGGTGTGGGTTTATTTCTGGGCTTTTTATTCTGTTCCACTGATCTATATGTCTGTTTTTATGCCAGTGCCATGCTGTGTTGATTACAATGGCCTTGTAGTATAGTTTGATATCAGGTAGTATGATTCCTCCAACTTCGTTCTTTTTTCTCAAGATTGCTGTGGCTATTTGGAATCTTTTGTGGTTCCATATAAATTTTAGGATTATTTGTTCTAGTTCTGTGAAATACAACTTTGCTGTTTCAATAGGAATTGCATTGAATCTATAGATTGCTTTGGGTAGTATAGAAATTTTTACAATGTTAATATTTCTTATCTATGAGCATGGTATATGTTTACTTTTATTTGTATCTTCTCTTCAGTGTTTTATAATTTTCCAAGGACAGGTCTTTTACCTTCTTGATTAAATTTATTCCTACATACTTTATTTTATTTGATACAATTGTATGTGGGATTGTTTTCTTAGTTTCCTTTTCTCATAAGCTCATTTTTGGTATATAGAAATGCAACCAATTTCTGAATATTTATTTTGTATTCTGCTTCTTTACTGAATTCATATTATAGTTTTAGTAATTTTTGGTGGAGCCTATGAAGTTCTCTATATGCAGTATCGTGACATCTGCAAATAATGACAGTGTTACTTCCTCCTTTCCTATTTGGGTGCTTTCAGTTTTTGTTCTTGTCTGATGGCTATGGCTAGGGCTTCCAGTACTATGTTTAATAAGAGTGGTGAAGGCGGACTTCCTTGTCTTGTTCCCCAATTTAAGCTAAATGCTTGTAGTTTTTGTCCACTGAGTATGATGTTGGCTGTGGGTTTGTTGTATATGGCCTTTATTATGCTGAGGTATGGTCCCTCTATTCCTACTTTGCTCAGAGTTTTTATCATACATGGGTGCTGGATTTTATCAAATGCTTTTTCTGCATCTATTGATATGATCGTGTGATTTTTGTCTTTCAATTTGTTTATGTGATGTGTCACGTTTATTGATTTGTGGATATTATACCAACCTTGCATCCCAGGAATAAATCCCACTTGCTCATGGTGTATGATCTTCTTAATGTATTGCTGGATTTGGTTTGCTAATATTTTGTGGAGGATTTTAGCATCTATGTTCATCAAGGATATTGGCCTATAACTTTCTTTGTAGTATCTTTACCTGGTTTTTGAATTAGTATAATGCTGGCCTTGTAAAATGAGCTTAGGAGTCTTCCCTCCTCTTGATTTTTTTGGAATAGTTTGAGGAAGTTCGGTGTTAGTTCTTTGAATGTTTGGTAAAATTCACCTGAGAAGCCATCTATTCAGTCCAGGACCTTGGTTTGTTAGAAATTTTTGATTCTTGCCTCAATTTCATTAGTTTTAAGTGGTCTATTCAGATTTTCTGATTCTTCCTGACTCAGTTTTGGAAGATTGTATGTTTATGAGAATTCATCCACTTTTAGTTTGTCCAATATTTTGACATATAGTTAATTGTTCATAATATTTTCCAACCATCCTTTGTATTTCTGTGGTGTCGGTTGTTACTTCTCCATTTTCATTTCTGATTTTATTTATTTGGGTCCTCTCTCTTTTCCTTGATAAGTCTGGTTAAAGGTTTGCCAATCTTGTTTATCTTTTCAAAGAACCAGCTCTCAGTGTCATTGAGAACCTAAAAGATCTCACCAAAAAACTACTATTAACTGATAAATAAATTCAGTTAAGTAGCAGGATACAATATAAATATTCAGAAATTGGTTGCATTCTTTTATATTTTTTAGACTGTATTTCATATATTTCCACCCTGATGTTTATTATTGTCTTTCCTCTACTCTCTTTGGGCTTTTTTTTTTTTTCTAGTTCTTTTAGGTATAAGGTTTGGTTGTTTATTTTAGGTTTTTCCTGTTATTTGGAGATAGGCCTGAATGCCATGATTTTCCTTCTTAAGACTGCTTTTGCTCTGTCCCATAGATCTTGGGTTGTTGTGTTCCCATTTTCATTTGTGTTAAGGTATCTTTTGATGTCTTCCTTGATCTCATTGTTAACCCATTCATTGTTTAGTAGCATGTTATTTAGCCTCCAGGTGTTGTGTGTTTTTCAGTTTTTTTTCTTGTAATTGATTTCTAGCTTCAAAACATTGTGGTCAGAGAAGATCCCAGACATGATCAATCTTTTTAAATTTATTGACTTCTAACATGTGATGAGACCATTTTTATTATTAGATTCAAAGGCATAAAATTCCTTTGTTTGATTGCTACAAATGTTTCTGAACTCTCCCTCTCGATTCCCATGCTCACCCTGTTGTCGATTGGTCTTTATAATTCAGTTTAATATCCCACTTGGAGCAGCAGGGTGATGGGGCACCCACCCAGCCACCTTGATTGGCCCCAGCTCTTCTCATGGCTGCCTCTTATGCTCAGGGCTCAGCTCAGACATCTGGTCACCAGTGAGACTGTCCCTGGCCACTCCTCCTTGTCACCCTGGCTCACTAACTGAAACCCTCCCATTTACCAGTTTGCTGTTTGTCAGCTGTGCCCACCCACATATTCCAGAACCTGCACCCCATTAGAGCAGGAAATTCATGTGTTGTTTGCTGCTATAGCCTCCCAGATCCAGAATGGGGTCTGGCACAAAGGAGTGCTCAATAGCATTGTTGTCTGAAAGGATGGAGGGAAGGAAGGGGAGAGAAACCCCAAGAAAGGGGAGGGGGAGGGGGAGGGAGGGAGGACACGAGACACGCTGAGACTGCCCAGAAGAGAATCTTCTGCCTCAGACCCAGAGGAGGCTTCCAGAAGAGGTGATGAAGGAGTGGGAGGGGCTTTCTAAACAAACTGGTTGAGTGCAGGGTGAAGGTGAAGGCGTGCTAGGTAAAGATTAGCATAAGCCAAGGCAAAGGGGGCTAAAATGGTAGGATCTGCACTCTGATGCATGAGTCAGGGGTGAGGGAGGCTAACGAAGGCGTGAGAAAACCCTGAGGATCTTCTTGGCCATGGAAATGGGCATTCGACTACTGTAAAGAGTGGAGAGTCAGTCTCTCTGGCTGCCATCATAATGCCATCTGGTTTCTGTGCCTTGCTTTGCTAATCAAGTTACAGTTGAGCCAACTGTGATTTCCTGCCTCCTTCCCCACTTGCCCCTCCAGTCATTCCATCCCCACTGACTGTGCCAAGGGCCAGCTGTCAGGGCAGCAGCTCTGTATGAAGCAATACTACGGCCTCTTTTCCTCTTACCGCCTCCCTGGCCACACCCAGGACACACTGGTGGCCCAGAAGAGCAGTGTCATGCCTGAGCCCGAGCATATCATTGTGGCCTGCTGCAACCAGGTAAGTGACCCCTTGCTGCTGCAGCCTCTTGGGCTTGGGGAGGACACATGTGTGCTCATCCATTCCTGCTTTTGCAACGGTGCTCAGCCCCCTCCCAGAGTCACACAGTGAGCTGGGCAGAGTGACCCCAAACTGGGACCTCCTGACTCCCCGTCAGTTCCATTTCTCTCCACTGGTTGGGTTTTGAGAACGAGGAGAGGCATCAGTTGAGGACACGCTCAGTGGGCTTCCGTGCGGGCCCTGGCCAGCCAGGTCAGGCAGAAAGAGCTGCCTGGACAGATGGACTCAGGCCGTTAATGAGGTCCAGCGTGGCCTCAGGCCCTCCACACGGAGTCGCCCAGGCCATGGCCTTCCCAGAAATCATGCACAGACAGACAGCTTTACAGACTGTTGTGTTGGAACCCCCTTGCCTTTTTTCCTCCGCTCACCAGTGTGTTTGAGATCTATCCCTATGGCTGTATGAAGAGCTAGTCCATTCCGTCTCACTGCTGGGCAGACGTGCCCTGGGCGAGCACACGACATTTTACGTAGCCATCCCTGCTGGAGACACTCAGGCTCTCTACCGTTTTGCTACTGCAAACTGCTTATATGGACATTTCTGTATATGTCTTTTGGGGCACAAGGGTATATGTTTCTCTAAGCCTTAGGCTAAAATATGTATTTATAAGAGCAATGGCTGAGTCATAGGGTACGCACATTTTTAGTTTTAATAGACACTGTCCTCCAACAGTGGTTTTACCAATTTATACTCAGTTCCTCACAAACATAATGACTTTATATGAACTAAGAACCACAAAAGCACCTGTTCTCTTAGCTAAATTTAATCTGGACTCCTTTGAATTGGAGCAGCTTGGAGTCCAGCACAGTTGACAGAGTTGAGCTGGTCCCCAAATAGTGACTATTCAGAGCCACCACACACCTTGGGAGCCTTGGGCCTGAGCATCTCCGCCATTCTCAGATGCGAGGTTCAGTGAAGGCCTGCACCTTGGACCGGCGGCCATGAGTGACGTGTTTGACCTGTTTCCCCACAGTTCTTTGTCTTGGATGTTGTCATTAATTTCCGCCGTCTCAGTGAGGGGGATCTGTTCACTCAGTTGAGAAAAATAGTCAAAATGGCTTCCAGCGAGGACGAACGCTTGCCTCCGATCGGCCTGCTGACATCAGACGGGAGGAGCCAGTGGGCTGAGGCCAGGACAGTCCTCATGAAAGGTCAGCGGCGGCGCTCAGCTCATCTCCACGCCATCTCACCCTCATGCCCATTGGCTTTCCCTCCTCCAGGTTTGGGCACCATGCCTCATCCCCATTTGCCATCGCCCGGGGAGCTGAGGCCTCCTTCCAACTCAGGACCTGGTGGCAAATCTTGCTGCCGGCCAAGGTTTTTGGATGCTGAAGCCACCTTTGATACCCTCTTGTCTCCTCTGACAATACTCCAGCTTTCTGGGTGACGCTGGCTAGCCCTGGAATCCTGGGGTGTTGGGGAACACTGGGGACGGGAAGATTTCAAGCTGGAGGAAGGCTCACAGCAATTACACAGTTGTGTTTTACTCGTTGGCAGGGATGGTTCTCACATGAGGGGTCTGAGTCACTGGGAGAGCTGTCAGATGAGGATTTGGGGTGACGCTCACCTCTGGGAGGGTGGTTGGCTGCCTTCTTTATATGAATTTTCAGTCCTGAAACCTTTCATCGTTAAGCTGAAAGTTACCAAGCATCCCTATGAGAAATCCAGTTACAGTCTTAACATTTTTAAATCATCCTTCTGGAAACTACTTTTCAAATCCAAAGCCAGCTCTATTCCCAATGGATGGAGAGCCTCCCTTTCTTGCCTGTTAGAGACTCCTGGGTGAGCGGTGAGACCTCCGTGGCCTCCATCCGCCCCTCAGGTCTTCACCCGGCCAGGTGTCCATCTGGCCTCCCAGGGTCTGTAAGCTGAGGCCTGGGCTAGGCCTGGGAGCGTAAGAGACAGAGAACGAAGCCCCTCAGGCCCGCTAGATAGGAAGAGGGGGCAAGAGGGCGTGGGGAGCAGGTTCAAATACACGGCAACGGGACGTCTACCCATGTAAGACAACAGAGAGAGCAGGTGCCAAATAAGTGCTTCGGGACTTCCGAGTGGGAAGGGAGCCTTCCTCCTTAGGAAGCTTTCAAAGGGCCTTGTTGGAAGAGGTGGAGATTGTACAAAGCCTATGACATGAGTGGGAGCAGCAGGGGGTGGGGAGCACACAGGCCGCCAGGCCCATTGAGGGCAAAGCCGACCGCCTGTGAGGAACATCTGCCCGCCCTGCACCATGAGCAGAGCAGCCTGGCTGGCACGCACTGGGAGGGCGAGGAAGTAGTGGGGCCGGCTCTCTGGCAACAGGCACTTGCATTTTCTGGTGCCTCTCCCTAGAAAGTTCTTCCCCAGGGCTGGCCGGCTCTTTGCACTATCTGGAGTTCAGCTCAGCTGTCACCGCCTCAGGACCTCCTTAAGCATCTCTCCCCATTATATCCTGTCACTGTGTCCTGTTTCCTCACATTGATTGCATTTTTCACTCTCTGAAGTCAGCTTTTCATTGTCTGATTCATGCTCATGATGTGCCTCCCTCCCCCAGTCAGTAAGGCCCATGGGAGTGGGGGCCTGATCTGTTTGGTTTCACTTTCAACCTGTTGTGCTAAATACAGTAAGGCCCCAGTTATATTTGTTAAATAAAAGAATGAAGGGTTATTAAGGCTACTGGGCCCCACACTTATTTCCCACTTGCGGATGAACTATTCTTTCATTCAAGTATTGGGCACCTGTGAATGCTTGGTTCTAAATCTGGGCTTGCACAGGCCACAGGGAAGTTTGAGAGCTGAGCCTGTCCTCACGGACCTAGCCGCCAAGTTGGGGAATTAATAACATCATTTGAAAGTGAGTTAATTCCCTCAGTAGACTGTGGTGTAATCAAATCCCATCTTCTCCCCTCCAGGGACAGTGACAGGCATCAAAATAATTGCTTTGCTTCCAGTACGGTTTCCACTTTATTAGCAGGCCAGGCCAAGCCATCTCCCTGCAGGACTGCCAGGGATTGCCTTGAGGTCTCAGTGCTTGGGCTGCACTAATCGGAATTAATTTGTTAATGGCTCTTGATCTGGCTTTCTGAATGGAAGTGCTGTTTCTGTGGGAAGCGTGACAGAAAGGAGGGGGCGCATGCCTTCCATTTGGAAATCCGATTAATCCAGTTAGCACTGACTGTGGCATCCATGTGTCAGGAGACCAGTTCTTCCCAAAGCCCTCTTCTCTGGAGCAGCCCTTTCCCACAGAAGGTGAAAGGGGAAACCATTTAGGAAACAATTTCAGTATAAAAGTAAAAGGCTATGGTAGTGTGGGCTAGGGTTGAGAGGGGTGATGGAAAGACATGGGTGGCGTCTAGATATGTTTCAAGTAGAAGAGGAAGATAAAAGAAGTCAGAAATGTCCCTATGGCTTGGCTTTGAGCAACTGAATAGATGGTTGTTTTGTACACTGAGATGGGAGCCAGGTTGGGAAAATGGCTATGAAATGGAGAAGTCCTTTCCAAGTATGGCAGATCTGAGATGCCTTGAGTCATCTAAGTGGAGACATCAAATTAGATCTATGTGTCTGGAACTCAAGAGAGAGGTCAGTACAGAGATATAAATTTGAGAGCCATCAGTACGTAAGTGATATTTTAAGTCACGGACCTGGGTGAGATCATCTAGAAGCAGAAGAGCGGGGCCTCTGAGGTCAGGTAGAGAAAGATGTGAGGGCGTCGAGAAAGCAGCCCTGAAGTCAAGAGAAAACCAGATGAGTCACAATGACCCAAGATGGAGTGGAGAAGTGGCCAGCCACACCGAGTGCTGCTGAGAGCCCAGCGAAGAGTCACCGGCGACCTTCACAAAGGCCAGACCGGAGTAACGGGAAGAACAAATGCTTGTTGCTGATGGAAGTGGTCCAACAGCGGGAGGAAATTGTTGAGGAGGTCAATGAGCAGAATCAGTAAGTGTGGCTGACTCTTTTCAGACATTTTGGTATTAAAAAGAACAGAAAATGGGGGAGTTGCTGGAAGACAAACGATGGGGATCAAGAGAAGTGCTTAGTGGGAAACTTAAGGGCATGGTTGTCTGCAGACAAATACATGGAAATAAACCCATAAGGGAATTGTTAATGAGGAGAGAGGAGATAAATGGAGAGGTAAAATTCTTGCAAAGACAGAAGGAGATGGAACCCAGAGAATAAGAGGCCTTCAGTTGGTGCCAGGAAAATGGAAACCTGGACCCGAGGTCCATAGACTGTGCTGTGGTGGTGGAGCCGTGGCCGTGAGCTGAGATGCAGAGGATGGAATCCTGCAGACCAAAGAGAACGCATGTGATAGTCTCTTGGAAGGTGGGGAAGAGAGCTTACTCATGAACTCGGTAAGATATACGGACTGCGTTGAGCTCATATTTGAGGACTTGGGGTCATACATTTAGGAAAAGCTAATTAGCATTGTTTTGCAATTTCCCCCCACAATGTTCAGCTCCTCAGGTTCAGGTAAGGAGGAGGTAGGTCACCAGGTTCGGCCAAGGTTAGTGAATTTGACTGAGGGAAAGGCGGGAAGGTGTGGCAAGGGAGCGGTTATAATGTTGGAATCTAAACTGAGTCTGCTAGGGCTGCCATAAAAAAGTACCACACATACTGAGTGACTTACACACAGACATTTATTTTCTCACAGATCTGGAGGCTACAGGTCCGAGATCAAGGTGTCAGCAGGGTTAATTTCTTCTGAGGTCCCTCCTTTTGGCTTGAGGGTGGCTGTCTTCTCCCTGTGTCTTCACATGGTCTTTCCACTGTGTCCTAATCTCCTCTTCTTATAAGGACACCAGTCAAGTTGGATATGGTCCCATCCTAATGACCTCATTTTACCTTAATTACTTCAGTGAAGACTCCTCCACCTCCAAGTACAGCCCCATTCTGAGTTACTGGGGGTTAGGCCTTCAACTTAGGAATTTGGGGAGAACACAATTCAGCCCATGACAGGAGGGAAGTGAAAGACAGAGGTGGGTAATGGATAGTGGAAACACGTAGTGGGGATGTCAGTGACATGAGCCATGTGGCAGTGGGGATAACAGAGTGTGTGAACCAAAAGGTCACGAGTATGGTCAGAAGGTTGGATGCTTGAAACTGAGATTTCAGGGGGTGTCAGTTCCTGGTAGTGATGAGTTCCCAGGTTGATTGCGGGAGTGGGTGCTGAGGTTAGACTGCCAAAGTTGGGAGTCGAGGGTCTGAGAGAGGAGGATTTGGGCGGGGTTATCCACACAGGCATGTGATGGGGAGGAGGAAGGTGAGCCGGGGGCCCAGACCTGCATGGTGGTGAGCTGTGAGAAGGTTGGTGGGACACAGCAGTAAGGAGGGTGGCGGTGATGGGAAGATAAAAGTCTAGCAGCTGCAGCTCCCTAGGGACAGGCGGAGAGGAGTCACTTAGGAGTGGGAACTGGGAGAAGAAAGCCTCCTACCTGACCTGGCTCGGTACTTGGGCGTCAAGGAAGAGAGTCTGAAAGGGCCCGGGGACATGTAACCTTCGGGGATGCCACCCTTCAGTTGAGGCAGAAGGTGAACAGAGAATGCTTTCAGAAGAGGTTAACGATGCAGGGGGACCAACCACCACTAGTCAGGCATCGTGAAGGGTTCAGGAAGGAGGAAAGGAGAGGGGGTGAGGCCTGAGCCCTTGCAGGGTACCCTGGAGCACTGGAGCATGGGAGTGCCAGCAACAGGCCTGGGGACGGTGGTCATCATTGCAAACAATACTCCCACATCCTTAACTCCTGGGAAGCTACTCTCTCCTCGTTCCAGGAATGCCTGCCTGGCTGTGGTTATGGGGAGGGGGACATCTTTCCAGCCCATAGCAGTATCACAACTAACACCATGGTGTGGGTGTTTTTCAGGGCATCTCTGCTGAAGGCCCAAGATCTCCACCTCCCTTCCTGGGACTGGGCAGAGACCAGTGCCTGTGGCTGTGGGCCCAGGCAGCTGTTGTTCTGCAGGAGGTCCCACCAAGCTGAGATCAAGTGAAACCTGCCCCTAAACTCTCATAGGGTCAACTGAGGCCCAGCCGGGCAATTGATGTCATTAACCCTCTCTTCTCAAGAAAAAAGGTGGCCCACCCCACCCCCTGCCAGGCTGGCTCCCTCTGTGAGACCCCAGGCTCCTAGCCCAGCCTCCCTGCTACGCCATTGAAAGGGCAGAGCTCACAGAGGTCT